GCTCCACACGGCTCAATGATGTCTGACAGATTATATGCAGCCAATAATAAACCAAAAGATTCAGCGGCTACAGCTCCAGTAGCTGGATCTAGCTAGTTCAATGCAAGAGTGGGACCCTTGCGACGAGAGTGGGACGCTGATCGCGAGCGGGAGGTGGGTGCTGGGCTGATAAGTGTTAGATTGCTGGGACGCAGTTTTTAAGAGGTCATTAACTTCATAACAATTCTATGCGAGCTCGCGTTTGCCTGGATTTTCTTGCCGTACTCTCTGGGACTTGGCTTTTACGTGAGTAAATCGAGTGTATCTGTGGGTGTGCGGGTGCCCATGTGCACAGACTATCGCATCCGGGATCTGTGAGCTGCGCACCCATGCGAGGCGTACGGCGAATCCGAAAGAAGCAACATGTTTCGTGTAGAGAAGGGACGTTTGCACCCTCGCTACAAGAGACAGCATTATGCGGAAGACAAAAACAAGTTAACACTGTGTCAAGAAGCACCGTCACTGCTGTACAAATCATACACCCTAGGGAAAGTTGCACACGCTGTATGACGTTACCTTCGTGATGCTGAAATTACCGCCTTCCTTGGCCTTGCTGTGAACCCATCCGGCTCCCGCTAACTAATGCTGGACGCAATAAGCAGAGCACGTAGTCTAGGCGAGAGGAGGCATTCAAGCACCTTGGAAAATCAGGCAAACGAGGCGAATGGAAGGTACGAGGCAGACGAGTCCTTCTGTGTATCCTATCTATGTTATAAATGTTGGCTCCCCTTCTTGTCTGCCTCTAAATTCTTAACTTCCTGAGTCTCTTCACCCTTAAGACAATAAGTAAACTTCATCACAGGCTATTATGCCTGAACCTGCGCCGTGGCCGACATCTACGCCTATACCCCAACTAACATCTGCTCCTCAGCCGAGATCTACTTCTTCACCCCAGCCAAGATCTCCTCTAACTGCAATGGAAGCAGTACAAATTACGAGACGATTCCAGAATGACATCGCCAACATAATGTCTGGCAAGGGTATTCAACTCCACGATAACTCGTTGCGAAGACGACTCTTCCTCGACTTCAGCAGCTAGCTTCCGAACGATCCAGGACCACTCCCATCAGGAAGGCACACTGTGTGCAAATAATCCGGAGCATTGAGCTTGTCACATACCTTTGCAGCAAAGTCACGATTAAGACCTAACGGGGGGTATATACTGGCACTTTGACAGGGGCACGGAATATCTTTTCGAACCTTGAACGTGGTTACCAATTAAGGGTATCGGGAGATGATGAGTGGGACATATATTTCAATTTTGGTGAATTGGCGGGGGGCCTTGTAACGATTTCGCTTTTGGCTCTTCTAACGACTCTGCCAGATACACATTGCCCTGGTCCTCCTTGCTAGACATCCTCTTGCGCAAACCCTTGCCCTTTCCCACCACGGTGGTGATATGGCGATAGAGAGTCGGTTATAGTGTCCGGTTGAGAGGTGGTTCTGTTAAGGGCCGAGGTCGAGGTAGAGGACAATGGGGGGCTCTTGTTCACGGCTAATTTCAAAGGGTCTCCAAACATGGAGTAAAATCCATATATAGTTCGCGGGTGAAGTAGACTTAATGCCTTGATAGTGTTAGCGACATTGCAGATAGAATCTTGACATCTTACCAGAAACAAATATTCTGACAGCTGTGGTTTCTTGTATCCGAAAACTAGAATACCAAGTGCGAGAGCAGCCCCCAGCAGCAGCAGAGTGAAGACGAGGTACGGAAGCCAGCGTTGGGGCCAGTGCCAGAACTGTTGAGTAAGATATGTGTACGTTATCAAGAAGATAAGGGACGAAGCAAAGGTTGTGTATGGCGTTGGGAGACATGTCGCTGCCACTGTACCACCGAAGCTGAGGGTCCCGGCAGCATATACACTGATCTTCTGCCAGAGTTTGAGTTCTGGTAATCGTGTCCACCATAGTTTAGCGCCCATCTAGATGCATATGTTAGATATGTTTACAATTATTTGTACAAGGTGTTCTTACTAAATCGCAGATAGAGAGAAGGCTAAAAGTGGCCAATTGCACCTGTAGCCCCCATGCAGTGTGACCGCTTGATGCGACGGCGATGGAAATTATGCAGGAACAAAAGGGTGCAAGGTCCGTCGCTGTTGCGAGGATGACCGGAACGCGCCAATGATCCAAACTGTCCCTGTCCGCCGTGGTGCTTTTCCCAAAGATCCCATCCATCACAGAGAAATATTTAGCGAGATTGAACCAGGCCACATAAAGCCTGATGAGGCCGACGATGGCAGAACAGATAATAACGACAATATTGGTAGGATTCATGTCGAGAATGAGAGTACAGATGCGTGATACCTAAGGGGTCGATGCACGCTCTTATGTGGAAGGAGGCGTCCATGCATGACAGCTGTGGAGCTCACCCCGATGCACACCTCGCATCGGTCCAGGGGTGTATTGTGACCTATTTCGGTTTGGCGCTATGCTACTGACAAGTCAAATATGTCGCTGCCTGCCACCTCGCATCGCCTCCCCATCACACCTCGCATCGCCCTCCCATCGATCAACAGGGAACATGGATCTAGCCCAATCTCCGCTCGATCATGCGGAACTTTTCGGAAGACTTGTTCAGCGTAAGCTGACATTAACAGAGTTCGCTTGTGAAGTAGTGCTAGCAACTAATCATTCATCGGAGTACTGTTCGAAGCTACAAAAACACCTCGACGCCCAAGCATATGTCCGCCGTATCGCGGCACCACCACAAAATGAGACGGATCATACACTTTCGGTTAGGGTATTTAAATACCTGCGGATCTGGAACATGGCATTCCAGATACAAGAAGATTCACACAAAGCACATACAGGGAAAAAGAGTCGCTCAACAATGCGAATAGAGGCAGAGAAATTTGCAGCAGAGTCGTTCGATATCACAACCCTAGAAACAAGAAAGTTAAACTTCCTCTGCCTGATAGGGTCCTGCGGGCTTTTACCCATGCCTCTCGAAGAATTCAACGAGCTCTACAAGAAGGTCCCAGACGGTCACGAGCAAGGCGCTGTAATTAGAACTAGGATACAGAAGTATATTAAGGGCTCTCACCTCCCTTTCCTGTCCTGGGAGAAGGCAGAGAAGCGAGGCTTCAGTGATCTGGACGATGGCGAGTGCGGTATGTACATGAGCGTAGAGATGTCATAGAAGGGAAGTAACGATAAGCAGCAGAAAGGACACGGAAACGTACTGCCACCTCTGAATTGCTCCTTGGTCAAGATTTTGGCGTATCCTGGGATATCATCGATTGCGCCCCTGAGTTCGACCTGCACGAATCACTCTACGGTGCTGCAAGCGACGACCATTCCTACCAGCCGGCCTGATGTGACTTGTACACTAAAACCACCCCCGAGACCTTGTATCAGGTTACATCTATCAGGCTTTGTATCGCTGATTGTATATTCAATATCTTGAGTGGCTTCAACGATCGCCATAGTGTAAGAGTAGGGACCACCAAGGACGGTTACGCCGGGGCCATGAACAATGCCGAAGGCGTGAGAGTGTTGTTTCTGGAAGATTTCAGTCATATTCGCACTAGTTATAGGTTGAATCTACCTCGTTGGACTTTTGCTTTATCAAAGCGATCAGTTCCGTGTGCTGGTCGATGTTGAAGGTCACACGAGGTTTGTCTGGCGGGATGTCGATGTGACTCGCTCGTACCGAATTGCGTCTTAACCTCGAGGCTACCTCTTCTATCTCATCTAGGTACTGTATTCTGACTTGCGTTTGCATCGTAGCGGGAACGCTGTTCAGGATACTGTGAATTGTGGGCAATGACGTGGCGACTGTGCGCGGAGAAGCGCGCGCGACAGTTCTTGGCATAGCTCTGATAGGTTGACTACAATGCCCGTGCGTTCGATGAACATCATCATTCGATGAACACCCCCACTTCAACAACAACACAACTTCAACGCGTCATAGCTCAACCACCATGGATCCGATTCAAGAAGCGATTGCAGAAATCGAATCGCGCGAACCAGGAGATAAATTCTCGTACCAACAAATCGCGAAAAAGTATGGTGTCAACCGCGTTACGCTCGCTCGAAGGCACAAGG